ACTTAGAAATGGTTACTTGAATATGTAGAAAGTCCTCTTTCGACCAACATTATCATTTTAATAAACTTATACTTTTTATTTAATTTTTTATTTTATAACTCAAATATATTATTAAAAATATAATGTAAGTTTTTAATATTATATACTCATTAATGTAGGTACATGCGCAAAGTGCGTACTCTAATACTAGTAAAAATGAAATAGAGATTTTACCTATATGTACTATATTAGAAACCTATTTACCCTCACTATTTATGGTTTAACTTAATTATAAGTTAATATATAATTTACTAATTATATACAAATAATATTAATGAGTATCTCTTTATAATAGAAATTTAATAGGGGATATAATTTATTCCATGTTCGCTCTCTATTTTCGATCTCTCTCTCTAAACTTATTACAGAAGCATTAGATATTAGGAGTATCTCTTTTGTTTTATTAGATCTTTTCGTTTCTGAATGAACGAAAGAAAATTTATAGGAAAAGAAAAACTACCGAAAGTCTTGGGTAATGGTGTTTTATTCTTTTGTGATGCTCAAATTGTAGGATCGATAGGCTGACGATTGAAATAAATGGGGGAATAAAATCAGTATAGGAAAAAAGTATAAACTCCGCCAGCATTTGTCACAGGAGAAGGAGAACCAGACAGAGACTTGACATAGAGCAATTGGGGTTCATGTTGCAATTAGAATTTTATAGAGGAAGAAGAACACACCACAACTAAAATATTTACAAATCATATACAAAATATATACAAAAGATATATTGTATAAAATTTATATGAAAATTTTATTTAAATTGTATTTAACTGAGTAAAAATAATATATGAAAGTTATAAAGAAATTGTATACTATAATAAATTGTATTTACGACGACGGACGTGCATTGACGGTGATCTAACGTGCGCCTTTGCCTGCATGGGTAGGGGGAGACCAAAGAGAGTGATCCAAATCACAAATACGAGTAAGGAATCAACAATTGAGCAAACGAAGAAGATCGATGACATACAGAAGTTGCTGAGGCCAATGGAACAGTTGCAGAGCATTAATGAGATGTGGCCGCCTTTGCATGAAGTGAATTCAGCTAGATCCACTCCAATTGATAAAGGTGAACAAAGCCAAAGTGTGAAACAACTGGAGAAAGTCCCAATTGCGGAGAACATTGGGGTTAAAAAGGTGATATGGAGGAAGGAGGTATAGCAGACGGAAACAATGAAGCTAGCTATGGCGAAGGAAGCTCAAATTCCTAAAAAACCAGCAGAGGAACAGAAGAAGGAGTGGGTGAACCTATTTGCTGGAAACAATTTGGCGTCTATAGGTATGAACCTCAAATTTATTGCTCCGATAGTCAAAAATAGTGAAAAATAGTTGAACTAGACACAAATGAGGTTGATCGTGAAACGATGAAATGGCAACATGCAATTGTGGTGTATGTTGTGGGTGACTCCCCTTCAATTAGTGTGCTGGATCGATTTATTGCCACACAATGGAACTTCATTAGCAAACCAAAAATATACTTCCATAATGATGGCTATTTCATTGTCAAGCTTATTAGCATGGAAGATAGGGATGTTGTGCTGATGTCTGGACCGTATATGATAAAAAACAAGCCTATAATTGTGAAAGTCTGGTCGCCTAATTTTGATTTCAGTAAGGAAGTATTGCAGACAATACCTATTTGGATAAAACTGCCCAACTTGTCGCTGAATTGCTAGAGTATGGATTCACTTAGTAGGATAGGTAGTGGATTAGGTATACCTCTGTATGCAGTCAAAAATTGAGAGGATTTCCTATACAAGACTTTTGGTTGAAATGGATGTTACAAAAGATATGCCTACTGTGCTAAAGGTGATAGATCCTAAGGGAAAAGTTTTTGAGCAATCAATTGACTATAACTGGATTCCTAAGTATTGTCACACCTGCCTTCGGTTGGACACAGTTGCAGAAATATTCAGAAAGCTATAGTAGGGAAACAAAAGCAACAAAAATCAAAGATGGAATGGAGAAGAAGAGCAGAACCAAGCAGGGCTGAAAAAGATAAAAGTGTTCCAACTGACAATGTAATACAGGCAAGTAAGATACGGGATACTGGAAATGAGAAACTACCAGAATGGGAACCAGCTAAAAGAAAATCTACAGCTAAAAGTGGTATGGCAAGCATAAGGGGTGATACTGGCATAAATATGTTGAATGGATTCAGTCCTCTTAGCTTTGAGATAGGGGATATAAACATGAAAAAAGGGCAATGTAGTTACCAGGGGGATACTGGGGATCCTAAATCCAAACAACCAAGTATATGAAACTTATAGCTTGGAATGTGCGGGGTGTAAATAAAGTTTATAAGCAAAAAAAGGTAAAGGAGTTCATTATAAATAATGATATAGCACTGATAGCTATACTAGAAAATAGAGTGAAGGAAGATAATGCTGGCAGAGCAATTCAAAAAATTGTAGCTAACTGAAAATGGTATGCAAACTATGCACATAACTTAAAAGGAAGAATATGGATTATGTGGGATCCAAATAGGTTGGAATCCTTAGCATTCCTCAATTACATACTATAGAGTCTATGGTTTACATACTATAGAGGCAAGAAAGGAGTTATGGGAAGAGTAGAAATGGGCAAATATATATCTTCAAAGTCCATGACTAGTATTTGGGGATTTCAATGCTCATTTAGAAGACATGCAATTTGGCAACCCAGTCCAAGATAATGAAGTAAGGGATTTCAATGAATTTATACAAACTAGTGGTATGACAGAATTACGAGCAATAGGGAGGAATATACTTGGTCAAATGGTTACATCTGGAGCAGGATAGACAGAGCCCTTGTGAATGTTGAATGGTTGATGACAATTGCTACTACTGAAGTAATGATTTTAAATCCTGGGATTTCAAACCACACTCCTTTGCATGTCCAATTACAAAATGATGTGCAAAGAAGTCCAAAGCCTTTAGATTCTTGAACTGCCTTGCAGATCACACAGATTTCCTAAAAGTGGTGGCTAATACCTGGTACAAGCCTACAACAAAGTAGAATATGCAAAACATATGGTGGAAGCTAAAAGAAATGAAGAAAGAATTGAAATAACTGAATCATACAGAATTCAGGAACATAGGGGAGAAGATGGAGTTCTATAGGAAGAAACTGCAAGACATACAAACCCAAAGGGGCCATCTCACTCAACCAGATCTCCTGTTTGAAGAAGAGAAAGAAGTGAAGATGAAACTAGAGAAATGGATCCTAGTATAGGAAAGTATCCTAAAGCAGAAATCTAGGAATAAATGGTTAGAACTAGGTGATGAGAACAATACCTACTTCTTTGCCAGCTTAAAGAGCAGACAGACTCAGAATAGAATTATAAGCCTTTGTGATTCTAAAGGAAATATTATTTAACAACCAGAAGACATTTCTACAGAAGTAACTAGTTTCTACAAAACACTACTAGGGAGTGCTGTTAACCAACTTTCAGCAATAGACCCTGAGGTAATGAGACGGGGAAAAGTGCTTAATAGACATCAACAATTGCAGCTAGTGTCATAGGTTACTAAGGAAGAAGTATTTCAAGCCCTTATGAGTATTGATGATCATAAATCTCTAGGATGTGATGGTTTCAATGCCCTCTTTTTCAAGAAAACTTGGAGTGTGATTGGAAATAAGGTTACTGAAGCTGTCCTCCAATTCTTCATTGATGGAGATATATACAAATCTATAAATTGTACAACAATTACACTAATCCCAAAGATAAAGAACCCCACAAAAATATCAGAATTCAGACCAATAGCATGATGCACTATGCTATATAAGCCGATTTCCAAAATCCTTACTACTAAGATGCAAGGGGATTATGGACAGTCTTGTGGACAAAAGTCAATCAGCCTTTGTTCTAGGAAGATTAATTACAGACAATATCATCTTAAGCCATGAATTGGTAAAGGGCTGTGGAAGGAAAGGTATCACCCCTAGATGTATGCTAAAAATAGATTGAGAGAAAGGCTTATGACTCAATAGAATGGTCATATGTTGAGCAAATCCTTCAATGTCTCCAATTCCCAGCAAAGTTTATCAGATGGATTATGTGCTGCATCTCAACCGTATCCTATTCAATTTTACTCAATGGAGATCCACTACCACCTTTTCCAGCTAAGAAAGGTCTAAGGCAAGGAGACCCTCTCTCCCTATTCCTATTTGTGCTTGCCATAGAATACTTTAGCAGAAGTTTGAAGGGTGTCTGTGAAGATAAAAAGTTCAAATTTCACCCTAGATGCAAAAAGATGCAGATTATTCAACTTGGATTTGCAGATGATCTCTTACTATTCTGCAAAGGAGAACTAGAGTCAATCACTATGCTGGTGCAGTGCTTCCAAAAGTTTTCAGAAGTGTCTGGATTGAGTGTCAATACTGAGTAAAGCTCAGTGTACTTTGGTGGTGTCCCTCAAGATATCCAACAACAAATCCTACAGGCTACCCAATTTGGCAAGGGGGATCTACCTTTTAGGTACTTAGGAATTCCCTTGAGTACCAAAAAGTTGTCTATTATTCAATGCAAACCTCTAATAGACAAGATGCTGGCTAGAATAAAATCATGGACTACTAGATACTTATCATATGCTGGAAGAATCCAGCTTGTGAGATCTGTATTGTACTCTATTCAAGTCTACTGGTCACAAGTATTTGTGCTGCCAAAAAAGGTTGTTCAAATGATACAAGCCACTTGCAGAAGCTTTTTGTGGACTGGAGGTAGTGATCTTAGCAAGAAAACACTAATTGCTTGGGATAGATTATGTCTTCCTAAAGCAGCACGGGGTCTAAATATATTAGACATCTATGCATGAAACTGGGCTGCTATTGGTAAACTCCTATGGAACATATGCAGGAAGAAAGATTGCTTATGGGTAAAGTAGATTCATGCTTACTATACCAAGGCAGGGAAAGTATGGGAGACTAAGACTACCTAAGCCTCATGGGTGGTACAGAAGATTATTAAAGCAAAAAACATGTTTAAAAAAATAGGCCTCCATGAAACAGATGTAGCTGCTATGACCAAATACTCAATAAAGGATATATATGGAGCCTATCGTGGGGAATTTCAGAAAGTCCCTTTGAGAAGAATTGTCTGGAACAATAATGGCCAGCCTAAATGGACATTCATCTTATTCTTGGCTCTGCACAGAAAACTGCAAACTAAGGAGAGGATAGCATGCTGGGCTAATTTAGACAATATGGATTGTGTGCTATGTAAGCAAGAGAATGAAGATATTGACCATTTATTATTTGAGTGCATGTATGATAAACAGGTGTGGTCAAACCTCCTAGCTTGGCAAAACATAAGAAGAGAAGTGTGGAACTGGAAGCATGAAGTACAATGGGCCATAGAAAATGCTACTGGGAAGACTGCTCAACAGGAGGTATACAGAATGACATTAGCTGGTGGAGTGTATCACTTATGGAAGGAAAGGAATGCAAGAATCTTCAAGGAAAGCAGCAGATCTGCCGATCAAGTGGTCAAGCAATTGATAAGAGAAATTCATGTTAGAGCTCGCAGAGTTAGTAGATTGGATAGATATATGAAAGATTTGAACTTTTATCCTTAGGAAGTTGAGCTTTGTAGATAAGGCTGAATAGAGATGGTATGCAGCAAGTTTGGGACCTTATGTCCAAACTGCTGATTTCTGGATGTGAGATGTGTAACTGATTTTGTGATGAAATAAAATATAATATAACTACCAAAAAAATAAATTGTATTTACCTTATAGAAATAGGAATATCAAGTTTCCTAAATTGTCTGGGTTTCAGAAATTAAGGCAACAAAATGATAACTTGAGAAGCAGGGTGAGGGTTAGCGTAGAAAAAGGAATCTCAAATTTTTGAGATTGTCCAGTTTAATGAAAGTTTTGAAATTAAGGAAAAATTTGGTAACTTGAGATGCAAGTAAGGCAATTGTTGCCCAAATATGTATGAGTGTACCGTGTACGAAAGCTTACTCAACAAAATTTCTAACTAAGGATTTCACATCAAATTTCCGTCATTTAATTTTGTGTTGTTTTGCATATTTTATTACTCTTATTTGATTTTCAATTAGCTAACTTTTAAGTGGAGAGAGACGTTTGAGAATAGGGAAAAAGGAGATAGAGAAAAAAAAAGTAGGATGGGTAATATAAATAAGGAATTTTTACATTTCTATACCATATAAGAAACTATATTACCCTCAATGTTTAAGGTTTGATATAATTACATTTAGTATACCTAATTACCAATTATATACCATTAGTGATTTTAAGGGTATTAATTACACTCCTAATTTAATGGTACCGTATATTCCTTCTAATACCATTCTCCCCACGTTTCTCTCTCCAATTCCCACACCTTCACCCACGTTTCCCTCCCACACCCACGTATTTCTTCCATAGCCAAGGTTTTGAATTCGAATTTGGGTTTTCAAAAGACATTATTTGTTTGGATTGAATGTTGTTGCAAGGAATTGAGAATTCTCTCTACGTCTCTCTCTATCTCGCAATCCCAAATTTCAGTAATAAAAGAGGAAAGGAAAAGAGAGCAGCAATTCCACCATTGACAACCATTAAAAAGCTTTGAAGCTTTGAATTCTAATTTGGGTTTTAAAAATCATTATTTGTTTGGATTGAGTGTTGTTGTAAATAATTGGGAATATGGTTTGGAGTTTATATCTCAATTTTGAGGGGTTTTGGTGAAGATTAGACTTGGTTTTGGCTGAATATCAGATTAAAACTCGAAGAAGAAGAAGACATGACATACATTATATTGCAGAAAATGTAGATAAATTGTAAACTGTTGTTTATTTATTTTTGAGCTTTGTATTTTTGTGTTAAAAGTTTTGATGGAGCTTGTTATTCCACTTCGTCTGTTTTGGAGCTAAGTTGTGCAGAGGAGAAGATGTTTTTTAAGTTATATATATTGCTATACCTTTAAATTCAAGAAAGTATGGTTATATTGTATTCAAAGATGCGTGAATTTGTGGAATAGGTTGAATGTGAGAAATGAGTCAAATAAGACTTACAATGGCTTGTTTTCTACACTTAATCTACAACAAAACTACATATCATTTGAAAAATTAATATGAAAATACAGAATTTCAATGTTTCTACAAATTATCTACAAAAATTCTTAGGAAGATCTATCCCTTCAGCATGTTTTTTTGGATTCCATATTTAGCATAATAGTAGTAACAAGAGCATATAGGAGAATCACAGAATTGTAGCATAATCGGAATTTTTGACATAATTGCATTTTTTGCAGAAGATTTGTAGAAGTTTTAGTCGTTTTTGATTTGTGAAAACAGAAAACAATCCATGTACAATCAGAATACAAATAATCTACAATTTATCGACAAAATATTCCCATAAACTGGGAACATTGAATTTTAATATCCCAATTCTCATTCAATTGTAGCATAATTGGGATTTTCGACATAATTGCATTTTTTGCAGAAGATTTGTAGAAGTTTTAATCGTTTTTGATTTGTGAAAACAGAAAACAAAGCATCTACAATTAGAATACAAATAATCTATAATTTATCTACAAAATATCTACAAACTGGGTACATTGAATTTTAATATCCCAATTCCCATTCAATTGTAGTATAATTGAGATGTTTGACATGATTGCGTTTTTTTAGAAGATTTGTAGAAGTATTAGTCGTTTTTTTATTTGTGAAAACAGAAAATAAAGCATCTACAATCAGAATACAAATAATCTATAATTTATCTACAAAATATCTATAAACTGGGTACATATTTGTACTCGACAAGCTCCTCCTGAAATGTATGTTTCACATTTTTGATACATATTTTTGTCCAAAAAAGTACTAAATCATCCACTTAAATATAATTTTTATACAATATTGTTCAACTTTCATATAATAGGTAAATGAATAAAAGAAAAATAAATAAACAACAGTCTACAATTTTTCTTCAATTTTTCTACAATTTTTCTATAATTTCTGCAATATACGTCTTCTTCTTCTTCTTCTTCGAGTTTCAATATGAAATTCAGTCAAAACTAAGTCTAATCTTCACCAAAATCCCTCAAAATTGAGATATAAACTCCAAACCATATTTCCAATTATTTTCAACAACACCCAATCCAAAAACAAATAATGATTTTTGAAAACTCAAATTTGAATTCAAAGCTTTCAAGCTTTTTAATGGCTGTCAATGGCGGAATTACTGCTCTCTTTTCCTTTGCTTTGTGTTACTGAAATTTGGGATTGAGAGATAGATAGATGTAGAGAGAATTCTGGAAACAGAGTGTATCACAAAAACAGAGTATGAAAATTTTTGATCTGCGTTGTGAAAGATCAGAGTGAAGCCGACGATAATTTTGAATGTGCGTGATCTACGTTGTGGAAGATCTTGAAGAATATTTAATTCTCCAATTTTAGCACGCCTAAATAAGGAATCCTACAGCTACAATGATTTCTTATTTAATGCATTGTCTATATTTTGTAGGAATACTATTAGCATGAAGGGTAATATGCTAACTATGAACATATTTGGTAATATAGTTTCCTATATGGTATAGAAACGAAAATTTCCCAATATATAATTATAAGGATCCTTATTTAGGACGGGTAATGCCCCTATCCACCTATTGGGCTAAATATATCCTTCTGTTAAAGTTTCTGGCTCATACATACCCTTTAAGTTAACATCCTACTTCAGCTTTTAAATCAAAATTGTTTTTAATGATGTGGCATAATATTATTGGTTGATTTAAAAGCCACCACAAATATATCCAACCCACCTACCCGTTTGAACCTGACCCGACCCAACTTCTCGTTGCAGGCTTTCACATTTCTCCAAGAATTGCTCTTAATATTGGTGTCACTAAAATTGTCTACTTGTGCAAGTGTACTCCTTGGGAACATCAGAAATACATGTGTTGCCAGTATAGTTTGCTACATCTTTTTCTAACCTTACTGCTGGTGTTTCTAATTGATAGAGCATCCATGTAACAATTAGTGAACTAACAATCTAATTGATATAGCATACAAGAAGTAACAGATGAAAATAATCCTGAAAGGCAACAACTATTTTACCACATAAAGGAAACAACTAATTTATATAACAACCATTACACTTTACCAGAATTGATGGATTGTTTTACCACAACAACAATCAGTAGATCACTATGAATAGATGAACTGTTTTACCAGAATTGACTACACATAACAACCATTACACTTTACAGTCATTACACAGTAATGACTATAATAACCAAAACAGTCATTACACAACTAATTCACCACTTAAACAAAGAAAAAACAAGGTCTGAATGCTTGTACGTAATAGTCAGATTACACAAAAATTACTAAACTACATAAACTACTCTAATGCTTGTCCTTTTTAGTCTTTAGTTTTCCAATTTTTTTCCTTTTTCTGCTACCAACTGATTTGCGGACATAACTGATTTGCCTATTGTGAGCACGTGATTTTTTGCCCTATATGAATTACTCCCACAAATTCAAAACAAAATAAAATTTTCCATTATTTGCAATTTCATAGATTTTTGTTAATTGTTTTGCTTTTTGTCTGCGCATGTTAATTTTGTTTAAATTATGAAAAATATAAATATATATGTGTATTTGCATCTAGGATTTAATTTAGCATTTTAGGATTAATTAGTAATTAAGTTATTTTATAAAAATAGGGAAAAATCACAAAAATAGTTTAATTTGCACCTTTTGATTTTAACTTTGATTTTGAGTAGTTTTTCTTTTAGTTTATTTTAATTAAATGTGATAATTTTTATTTTAGGTTTATTTACTATTTTTTCAGGTTAATTTGGTTTTAGGTTTTAACTTCGATTTTTAGTTTAATTTTGAAAAAAAAAGAGGGGAAGAAAAGGAATTAAAATAGAAATAAGAAAAATTGAAAAGAATTGAAAAATAAGAGAGCTGGATTTTGGGCCATATCTAGGTTAATTCGCCAGGCCCAAGCTGGTCCACCCCCATACCCATCCAAATTGAAGCCCTGACCTGCCCAATACCCGGTCCACCCGTTACCACCCAAAACGACCCCGTTTAGGCCAAATAGATCTGAGCCATCTATGTTGCTTGATCGGACGGCTGAGAACTAGGGAGTTGCTTAATATGTATATGTCCAAACAGCCCCCTACCCCCAGTCATCTCCTTTAACCCTTCAAAGCCCCGCTGAGCTCTGCCCTAAGCCAACGTTCGCCGCCCGCCGGGAATCGCCTACGGCGGCGGCCGGCGTCCAGTTTACACCAGATCACCTTCTCACCCTCCTCTTTCCAAAACCTCCACTCCTCACGCCTTGAATCTGGATAGAATCCTGCAAATCTTAGATCAAAAACATGAAACCCTAGCGCCGCCACGATGTTCTTCGGTGGCGGCGCCACCTCCAATCGACCCCAAATCTCATCTATGCAACCACCGCCCTTTCCTCAACCCCAATCCACCACCATTTCTCTCTAAACCCTCACCAAATCAGTCTATCCTTGAATCTGAAAACAAAGAAGAAGTGAATCTGTCAAACCTTCAAGTTGCCTTAAGTGATAAGGTTTGAAACGGGTATTGACCCTTTGTTTTCATTGA